TCATTGCTTATTTGAAATGATTATATTTATTATTGTTTGATCATTACAATTATTTATTTTCATTTCTATCTTACATATAATTTTAGATTATTTGTTTATGAGTTGTACATTTATATTAAATAATTTTATTTAATGAATTATTATTGATGTTATTCTATCACTTTTGATTGTTAAATCATTTGATTTGTTGTATTTTGAAAATAGTGTGTTTTATTTATTTTAATAAGAAGTGAATTATCTTGTATATATTCTGTATTTTCATTTTATTATACTTATTATTAGATTATTATTTTCTTTTGTAATGATTGAAGAATTTATCATTATACATTTATTATAATAATGAAATGTTCGTTCATTTTTAATCAATTTTGATAAATTTAAGTGTAGATAATGAATGAAGAATAAATGTAATTATAATAATTTATCATTTATTCTTTTCATTAACATATTTATATTATTATTACAAAATAAAAATAATAATGATTAAAGCAATATTCATTATCTATTATAATTTATCTATTATCATTTATGAATTTGTGTGTTTTTAGTATTTATAGCACCGTCTCATCATTTGTATTTCTTTTCAAGTAGAATATTACAAGTAATAATTAATAAGAAGAATAAATAATTTTAAATCATTTATATGATTATTTCAAATTTCATTTTCATTTGTGGTGGTAATTCAAATGATCCAAATACTTTCTTATTACATACTTTACATATTAAACTAATTTATTAAACTTTGAATGATACAATCTCTTCCTTCTTTTTGAAATAACATTCAATGCTTATTTATAATTAAAACATAAATACATATAAATGAAAAATACACCATGTATAAGTAAATTGATAATAAATAAGTAAATCATTATTAACAATATGATAAAAATAAGTAGATGTTTTATTAAATTTAATAAATGATAATACACTATAATGTTTTATTCTTCATTTCAATAATTAAATAAAAATAATAATAAACTTAAAAAAAGATATTCATTAATAAAAAAAGAATAATAAACAAATATAATAATAAGAATGAATAATTCTAATTGAGTATAAATAACATTGATAAAATCTATTACAACTTAACTGGTATTAATAAATGAATATTAAAATGGCTCTTTTGCTTAGACATTTTTTAAAGACCGATGAACATTTTATGAGTTCAACAGGAATATGTAAATCAACAACAACAATTAAAGGATGTAAAGGAGAAATAGATAAAGAATATGGATGTAGAGAATGTTTAACAGGATATTATTTAATAAATAAAGAATGTTCAAAATGTGGAAATAAATGTATAACATGTTTAAATGAGAAAGAATGTAATAAATGTGAAGATGAATATATAATAATAAATAAAGAATGTATTCATTATTCAAATATTAATAAATGTAAAGAAACAAAAAATAATAAATGTTCAAAATGTTCATTTTGGTATGGAATCAATGAAAAAGGAACAAAATGTAATAAAGAAATTGTATGGTGGATGATAATGATAATTATCATCATTATACTTATTATCATCATTATAATAATTATAATTATAATTATAATGATTAATTACATTATAAAACGCAAAGAAAAGAAAGAACAAGAGAAAACAACAACAATATTTAAAATTTCACAATCAAATATCAAATTTATATCACTTGGAGATGGAATAATAACAAATAAAAAAGAAATAGAAATAGGAGAAGGAGAAGAAATTGAAGTAAATAAAGAAATCAGAGAATTAATATGTATTGGAAATGAAAATAAAGAAAAAAAGAAAATACAAATAAGTAGTAAAGAAGAAAATGAAAAATATTCAATTAGAACAAACCCAAATATTATTACAATT